GTTTCTTTCTCTTTTAATGCTAGGGTTAATTTATCTATTTCTGCACAATTTAGTGTTTTTTTGAATAATCATTTCCTCTGGTGGAGTATGAAGCTGTTTCCAACATTGTGCAAAGGCCAATCTAGCTGCCATCAATATATGCAATATTATATACTTTTTTGGGAAATTGTTTATTAAAGATCCCTAATAGGAAGAACTCTGGTTTGAATTCAATCTGTTCTGTCGTCATTTCCACCAGCCATGTTTTAATTTTCTGCCAGTATCTTTGTGCTTCTGCACAGGACCACCACATGTGGAAGTATGTTCCTTCCTTTTTTTTGCATTTCCAGCAGTTCGGACTCATATTGGGGTGCATCTTCACCAATCTCAAGGTGGGGAGATGCCACCTATAAAACATTTTGTAAGCATTTTCCTTGTACGATGCCGATTTTTTGATTTTATTTTTTTCTATTCCAGACCCTCTCCCATTCTGTTATGGTGATACTACGTCCTATGTTCCTACTCCAGGCTATCATGTTTCCTTTAACGATTTCTTCCTCTAATTCTGTCTCTAATAGATAATTATAAAAAAAATTATATTTTTTTTGTCTGAGCCTAAGAGAATTTTGTCCAACTGCTGAGGTTTATTCTTTCTTATCCCGTCTAAATTTGTTTTGAACTTGAAGGTATGCCCAACGGTCAATTTGTAGTCCCTGATCTTGGAGGTCCTGCCATGATTTCAAATTTCCTTGCAAATCCAATAAATCCTTATATTTAATTATCTTGGTAATATCCAAATTATTAGGGTGTATCATCGCCTCCCCGTAGTTGAGATCCAGATCAGGATCTTTAAATAATATTTTTTCCTTACTTTCTTCCAATTAGTCAAGAGAGCATCTCTAATTAGGTGTCAGTGAAAATATTTCTGACTAGTTTTCCCTATATCCCATAAGAAGGCATGCCACCCCCTCTGTAAGTATGACCTTCTAGGACTAGAATTCTCTCGTTAGTTAAGTTCACCCATTCTTTCAACTATACTAAGGAGGCTGCACTGTGATACAGCTCCCAGTTTGGAAGAGCCATCCCTCCCCTGCTCTTCATATCCTGCATTGCCTTTAAATTTATTCTTGGTTTTTTCCCTTGCCAGATAAATTTTGAAATTATCCTATTGAGTTCCACAAAGTATTTTTTATGAATTTTGATTGGTATCATCTGAAATATATTTTGGAATTTTGGAAGAATGGTCATTTTAATGGCAGCAATCCTACCTAATAAAGTTGTAGCTTATCCCATATTTCTAAATTTTTCTTTACCTGTTGCATTAATTTATCATAATTTTTTTCCTTTAACATCTTGCAATGTGCTGTCAACCATATTCCTAAATATTTAATTTTCTTTATCACTTGAATTCCCATCTCCTTTTCTAATTCTAATTTCTGTTTTTCTGTTAAATTTTTAGTCATTAATTTCATTTTCTATTGATTTTAAGTCCTGCCACTGCTCCAAATTGTTGTAGTTCATTCATCAGTTCTTGACCTCTCTCTATTGGTTATCCAATTAAAAAAAATCATGTCATCAGTGAATGCTTGCAACATGTACTCTTCTTTCTTAACCTTTAGTCCCTTTGTATCTGAGTTTTGTCTAATTCGCGTTAGTAATGTTTCCAAGCAGGGAATGCTTGAAGACCAGGGATGAGAGTGGACAGCCCTGTCTAACTCCCTTCTCTATTTTTATCGGTCATGTATATTCCCCATTAACTATAATATTTGCCTTTTGTGTGGTGTAGATAGTAGTTATAATGTTTTCAAATTTAGTGCCTAAATTCATATTATAAATTTGTTGAATTAAAAATTGCCAATTTAAATTGTCGAAAGCCTTCTGGGTGTCTAGAAACATCCAGGAATATTTGTTTTTTAGGATGGGCTTCATAAAATTCTAAAACATCTAGGGCTATTCTTAAATTATTCCCGATTTGCTTGTTTGGGAGGAATCCATTTTGATCTTTGTGCATATACTCGTTCAGGATTCTTTTTAATCTATGTGCTATAATGGTAGCAAATATTTTATAGTCAGTATTAAGCAAGGAGATTGGCCTATAATTTTGTATATTTCTGGAGTCCAAATCCTCCTTCGGGATTAGCAAAATCAATGCTCCCCTCCACAAGTCCGGCATCCTGGCTGCAAGTAAGACATCGTTAAAGACTTCCATTATGAGGGGTCCTATTTGTTCTCCTATTGCCTTATAGAATTCCCCTGGAATCCCATCTGGTCCCGGAGATTTACTGTTTTTTTGGTTTTCTATTGCTATTTTCAATTCCGACCAGGTGATATCTTTATTTAATAATTCTCTCATCTCTTCCCCAATTATTTTATCCTTTGTTTTATCCAGGTAATTTCTTATTTTATCCTCATTTACTCCCTCCTTTTTATATAGATCTTCAAAGTATTTATGGATGATTTCTTTTTTCTGTTCTATTCCATGTTGAGTATCACCATTTCTATCTATTAGTTGGTAGATTAATCTTTTTTCTTTCCCTTTTTTATGTTTATATGACAGCCATCTCCCTGGCTTATTGGTGTGTTCAAAATATATCTGTCTCGTTGTGTTCAAATTTACACACACACACACACACCTTTTTAATTAACTCTTTAATGTTGAATTTTAATCATCTTTGCCTTTTAAAATTTTGTATATATTATTTTTATGGTTTGATGTTTCATCTATATACTTCCAAGAGTCCTTCTGTGAGGGTTATGGGCAATTTTAAAATTGCATAAATCTTAAAATACCACTCTGGTTCTTAATTGTTGATGGAGAATGGAGAAAAAGGTAAGATTTAATCAGAGTGCCATGCATGTTGTACCTTTGTGGTACATGTTGTACCTTTGTGGTTAGCATATGGCTAGGTGTATTAAGGAAGTCCTGAATGTAGGGGAAACAGTACTGGGAGAGGGGATTGTGACTATACAGGCAACTCCCATCTTTTTGATGTTGTTTTTGACCAAAAACCTCAAGTCAGCAGTCTAAATGGCATTCATGGCAACAACCACAACAGTACTCACATTCAGACTTGTGGGCTTTGAATTACTGATCGGAAAGTATGGAATATTTTAGCAGGAAGATGATGAATAGAACAACAGATGTTTTGTGGGTAAAAATAATTATAAGTAATTTTTAAAATACTATAATTGACCTGCAAATCTTTATAATTTATAAAGAAATTACTTCTTTATACAAGTATAATCTCGTCCATCCTAAATAATTCATCGCCTTCTTTTAAAATACAACAAATGGTATCTTCTTCCCATATTGTATCTCCTTTATATAACAAATCCTTAGAGCAGAGATGGGAATGATGGCCACTTTATGACTTGTGGACTTCAACTCCCAGAATTTCTGAGCCAACATAAAGTCATAAAAGGGCCATCATTCCCTTAAAGCCTTGTCATTTCTTCTTTGATCTGGAAAGTCAATTGAGGTTTACCAGAGATACCCATATTTCTATTTTAACCATGATCAAATAAATCAGCTTTGAATGCCTTTTACAACTTGATCTTCTTCAAATAATGCCCTAGATTTTGATTTCATTTTTTAATCCCTTCACACAAAATTCTTCAACAAGCCTCTTTTGTAAATCCACTATAGGAAATTTTCCAGATCACTCCATTTGTTTGTTATTTATATATTCTTTCTAATTAACACATTAGCCAGTTCCTTTTGTATGTCCAGTCCTTTTTCATTCTTATATTTTTCATTCATATCATTCTTGTAGCGGATATGTTACTTTTAAATACACTTCCAGATCAGTTGTAATCTTGTCAGATAAACTCCCTTCCTTAACAACTTTTAAACAGTCTATCTATATAGGCAGATATCTTAAAGTTAATGTCTGGGTCCATTGTTCAAAGATACCTTTCAATATGTCCAGTGTTAAAATGGACAGAATTTGATTAATTCTGTATAAGTCAAATTTAAGTGTTCTTTTCCTTTAATTGTAAACTATAATTTCTTCGAGTTTCCTCTAGTGTCCAAACTTTTCAAAGTCTCATCTACGCTTTTTTAAAACAATTTGAAACAAAAGCATTTTCTTACGGGAAGGATGTAATTAATTTCAAAATTGTATTTTAAATCAAATACAATCAAAGTTCGAATAACCTTTTGCTGTTTATTCCCCAAATGTGCATTTTTTAAAAGTTTTTAAATTTGCATTTAAAACTTCTTCCACTAAGGATTGAAGGGAACTCACCTGATACTTTCAGACTTGTGGAACCAAAGGTTCCTAATAGCTTAAAAAATAGTTAACAAGTTTTTAGAAAAATAAGTATGCATACCCAATGTCTTAATAAAGGCACAATCTGGGTTGGAGAAAGATGTCTTCCAGTGCTCTAAACACAGAGCTGGTATTCAGCAGGTTCTGACCAGTTCTGGAGAACCGGTAGCGGAAATTTTGAGTTGTTCGGAGAACCGGCAAATACCACCTCTGTCTGGTCCCGCCCCCATCTATTCTCTGCCTCCCAAGTCCCAGCTGATTGGCTAGGTCTTCTTTTGTTGCCTTGCATAGGAGAACGGAGCTGGAAAGCAGGTTCGTGGGGTGGGAAGGGAATGGGATTTTGCAGTAACCTTCCCCCAGGACTGGGGAGGGAATGGGGATGCCATGCCCACCAAGCCACGCCTACAGAACCAATAGTAAAAAATTTTGAATCCCACCACTGTCTAAACAGACTGATGTCTTGCAGTTATTAGAAGAGTATCTGTCTGGAGCACTTTGTGGATGATCTCCAGTGCTCTACTTTTCTGCTTTGCTGTGATAAAAGCACAGGCATCTTCAGATTAACATTTCTTCTCTGGAAGACCATTACTGCTACCAGTATATTTAAAAAATACAAAAATGCATCACTAAGTTCAGGGTTTTTTTTTTTAAAAAAATCTCCCATTATCACAGTTAATGGGAGATAACTCTTTCTTAATTCTTATTTCCACAATGTAACTGTTTCTCATTCTCTTTCCTTTTGTCCTGCAGTCTCCTCTCCCGGGAAGGTTTAAAGGAGATTCTCCAACAACTTGAATGCCATTTTACATGGGAGTTGCAGAAAGAGCATATTGATCCTGATGAATTGGAGGAAAGAATTGCTGAGCAGATCCAGTTCTTAATCAATAAATCCAAAGTTCAAAATTACAACCTTCTTGCCTATGTGAAATTCCTGAATGACAAGAAGGAAGAAGCCCTGGAAAATTTGCAGAAAGCTGACGAGGCTGTGCCCCTAGAATACCCTGGGGATGTTGAAAAGGGAAGCCTTGTTACCTGGGGCAACTGTGCCTGGGTGCACTACCACATGGGCAATCTTACTGAATCCCAAGCCTACCTGGAGAAGGTAGGAAGCATCTGCAAGCAACTTGGAAGTGAGTCTCCTTATAAGCTGGAGCTCCCACAGATCTACTGTGAAAAGGGTTGGGCGCTCCTAAAATTTGGAGCCAGGTATTATGAAAAGGCCAAGGAGAGTTTTGCAAAAGCCCTGGAAGAAGAACCCGAAAACCCAGAATTTAATTTGGGCTATGCAATCACAATATACCGCCTGGAAGATTATTATGCAAAAAAACATTCAGGAAAAAACTCTTCATTGGAACCTTTGAGGCGTGCAGTAAAACTGAATCCCAACGACATATTTGTGACGCCTCTCCTTGCATTAAAGTTACAGGACACAAACAGAGTGAAGGAAGGAAAAAAATACATTGAGGAAGTGCTTGGAAAATATCCTGATGTTCCTTATGTATTAAGATATGCTGCCAAATTTTACAGAAGGAAAGGAGATGTAGAGACATCATTGCAACATTTGAAGAAAGCATTGAGCTTGACCCCAAACTCTGGATTCTTGCACCATCAGATTGGGATTTGCTACAGAACACAGTACTTCGCACTGAAAAAAAAAGTGTCCAAAGGCCAATTCCAGTTTGTTGTAAAGCAATTTGAACTTTTGAACCTTTGCATTTTTCATTTCCAAAAAGTGGTGGAGCGTAAAACCAAGTTCATCTATGCTTATATTGACCTTGCTAACATGTATGTCGAACAACAAAGACTACCGAAAGCAGACGAAACCTTTCAGAAAGTGTTTGCCATCAGCAACCTAACTGCTACAGAGAAGCAGCAGCTCCATTTTAATTATGGATGTTTTCAGGAACGTCACAGAAAATCAGAAGTGAATGCTATGAAACAGTACCTGGCTGGGCTGAAAATTGAAAATGGTTCATTCGAACAAAAGAAATGTGAAAGGAGCTTGAAGCAATTGTTGCATAAAACGGTTAAGAAAGGTCTAATATGTGTTGAGATATTTGAAATCTTGGGATCTGTCTCCGAACGCCTTGGATTAAAAGAAGAAACCATTGAGGCCTATGAAATAGCCCTGAAAATGGATCCTGGGAATGAAGAGTATCTGAGTGCATTTATGAACTTGAAGCTTTCCTTGAAAAATTAAATGTTTGCTATGTTTTCCAATATATGGCTTCCAAATATTTTAAGTTTTGCATTTCATGCCATGTCAAAAACCCAAATAGTTACCATTTACAATTGCCTTGAGCTAGAGTACTTACATCTCTGCTCTGTGTGTGTGTGTGTGTGTGTTTAGAATATTAGCTTCTAATGGGGACTTATTACAACACTAAAAGTCAAAACATTAAACCGAACAGCAAGCAAGATAAAACAAAAGGATTAATTATAAATGGGGTGGAGGTGGAATCTTACAATGATGCTCTGTAGCTTCAACTAGTCCTTGCAGAAGCTGCAATGCCTCTATGCACGTATCACAATTTACCACTGAGCTGTGGTGGTGGTATTGCAGGTTTTGCAGGCTATTCTGTTGACTGCCAGCAGTTCGATTCTCACTGGCTCAAGGTTGACTCAGCCTTCCATCCTTCTGAGGTGGGTAACATGAAGACTCAGATTGTTAGGGCCAATATGCTGACTCTGTAAACTGCTTAGAGAAGGCTGTAAAGCACTGTAAAGCGGTATATAAGTCTAAGCGCTATTGCTATTTCATCTGCTTCAATTGTCTGGGCAGGTGAAGAGAGGCAAAGGGGCTGCTCTGGGAAGGGGTCCTGTCATGTCATGTTCTAGGCTTCTCCAACAGCACGAAGCCGAGTCCTTGTCCCGATAAACTCCTTTGATTTAATTTACAGTGAATTCCTCTCCAGCAAAGTCCCCGCCAACAGTCTTTCAGGGTAGTTCCCAATTACAGACCTTTATCAGGCTTGGAGAGTGGCCAGGCTGATATCTTTCAGATGCCACAATAGTGGGCAAGAATGCAGGCATGAACTAATTGTGTCCTGCAAAACCCCACTCCCCTTTCGCTCCTCTTTTATTGCCTATGGGAAGGACCATTCACTGTCCACCTGTGGCTCTACTCCAAAGTCAACCCTTGTTCCTTAGCTGTTCCCTTCATCTGGCAACTCTGTGCATGCTCACACTGGGAACAGGCTCCAGCTGTTCTTCTGCCTCACTGATGTCCAACTCCGAAGGCAGCTGATATCTGTCCGACAGCCCTGGCCTCATTTCTGCCTCCGACACAGCACTAATCAGAGCCTTCTCCAGACTCCAGGGCTGGCCCATGTTCCTCCCCAACCTTCTCACTATCCGAGTCTGCTGCCAGCTCCTCTGGCCATTGATAGGCCGCAACATGTCATGACTTAGCTTTGGGGATGGGACATCACTTAAATCATCAAAACATCGCATAGCCTAATCTGCAGGCAACCTCAATCTTATATTTATCCTGCAGTTCTATATTGTAATTGCTTCCCTGGTCAAAGAAATTTCAGTCCCAATATATCTGCAGGGCTGGACTTTCCTGTTAGGACAAAGTAGTGGCTTGTGACATAGATAGAATAAATATGACTTTGTGACAAGAGGTAAAATTTTCAGAGCATAATAGTCTCTCGAATTACATACCTAGTACATGGACTTTGATAACTATTCATTCTCCATGCTTTTACTATGGCCTCAAGACTGATACTGCAGGATTGGAAAGATAAAGCTATGGCCACATTTCACTCAACGGATTGAAGAGCTGGTTATACTTGCCATCTATGAGTGGATTGCTTATAGACATAGACTCTGGACAAGCATAATAAATAATATGGACAAGCATAAATAATATGAGACACATTTATACTCAGTAGTAGGCAATGATAGTTATACATGAGTAATATTGAATAATAATATACTTTTTTCTCTTTTGTATTTTTTAACCTCTTAAAGTAATATGTTACTTTTCTTTGGTACTGTAACTTATTGCTATCATAATTTGTAAATAAAAAATAAGTTGGCCTTACAGATCTCTTATGGCTATTAAAAAAGAAAAAAAATTGCAGCAATCTTCTTTCTTACCCTGCACAGTGATCTATGAAATATCTGGCTCTGCTGAATAAAAGTAAAATATCCTGGCCTTTGAATTCTTCAGGGAGGCACCTGCAGAAAGAAGTAATTGTTGTAATTAAAAAGTATATAATCTGGACAACAGCTTTATGGAAACTTCAGTTTAATTACTGGGTTGTTCAAAAATGAAGATGCTATCAGAAATAATTAAGGTAGCTGGCTCAAGTTTAGTCGAGTTCAGTTCCAAATTACTTTATGAACCATGTGGTTTTCTTTGCAACTGAGGAAGTAATCTTTTGGAATGCTATTTGGCTTCTGAGTTTAGCCTAATTAGGAAGATAAGGAGAGTAGCTTCTCATTCAAATACCAACGAAATCTTGTTTTACCGTTTTGGGATTAACAAAAGCCATCTGCAAATCTTCGTCTGACTGCTGAGTTCATAAGTAACAGACACCCCCAATTGAATACAGGTCAGTAGATTTAAATTTATTAATCACATTGGTCCAAAGTATTTTATCCTGTTTCTCATTGCAAAAAAACCTGAAGTAGTTTTATGATAAAATCCATTAAAAATGAGGCGGGGGGGGGGGGGAATGGGTGGAGAAAACCATCCTACAAAGAAAAGACTTATACATATCTTGTATATATCTTGTATGTATGTATGTATGTATATGTGTGTGTGTGTGTGTGTGTGTGTGTGTGTATATCTTGGTGTTGGATCTGACATATTGCAAAGGGGAAGTCATTTTACAGGGTGGCAGCATCACAAATCATGAAGAGAATGGCAATTCAGTTTGCCTGTGTGTTTGCTTCATGTTACTAGAACAAAATATTCCTAAGGTGAATGGCACTAAGCTAAAAAGATAAGACAGGTTATCCCAAGCATTATTCACATTCCATATTCATGGGACAGGTTTAGAATATATGTTCTTGGCTCTGAATGGCAGAAGATACCGTCTTAAGAAGGCAATGAAAGAGAACAGAACTTTGACTGTGATGGATCTGTGTTCTAAATGGGTATAACGTTCCACTAACCTGCTTAAACAGGAGAGTCCAGAGACCAAAACAGTGCCTTTAATTTTGATGCTGCACAGCTTAACCCCCCTGCTGTGAAGATGCGTCAAAGTGTACCTTTGAGGTTCCTTGAAGGAAAGCGATTAAAAAATAAACATGGCTATAACAGTGTAATTACATGGTCAATTGACAAGCAAGAGCTCCTAAGTAGAGACACATGTTTAAAAAGGTTTACAGTGACCTCTGAAGTACCTGATACTCCAAAGTGGTATTTCTCAACTGTGGCAACTTGGAAGACATAGAACTGCTGGCTGGGGAATTCTGGGAGTTGAAGTTGATATGTCTTTAAGATGCCAAAGTTGAGAAACACTGCCCCAAAGGATTTATCTGAAACCAGTGGTGGGATTAAATTTTTTTTACTACCGGTTCTGTGGGTGTGGCTTGGTGGGCATGACAGGTGAAGGATACTGTAAAATCTCCACTCCACCCAACTAACCTGTTTTCCAGCTCTATTCTCCTGTGCAGGGCAACAAAAGATGATCCAGCTGATCAGCTGGGGGCAGAGAATAGTTGGCTGCAGGGCCAGTCAGAGGTGGTATTTCCCAGTTCTTCAAACTACTCAAAATTTCTGCTACCGGTTCTCCAGAACTGGTCAGAACTTGCTGAATACCACCTCTGGGATAGTGGACTGTCTAGACTGGTTTCAAGATTTCATGGAATATCCTGTAGGTGGGCAGCATACTTCCTGATCCTACTGAGTCCACCTTAGCCAAGATCTCACCTGGAAAAATAACACATACCAGGTGGTTAGAAAGGCCTAGCATAGACTCCATTTCCTTAGGGTCTTGCGGAAATGTCAGGTGGAATGACTGATTACTTCCTTTTACCGGTCTACGATAGAAAGTGTCCTTACCTATTGTATCATGGTATGGTATGCTGGCTTGACAGCTGCGGACAAAAAGGCATTACAGAGGGTGATGAGCACAGCACAAAAAATTATGGGCTGTCCCCTGACACCACTGGACAAAATTGCCAGGACCCACTGCCTCAACAGAGTGAGGAAAATCCTCAGGGATGATTCACACCCTTCTTCACTATCCTACCGTTGGGCAGGAGATATAGAAGCGTAGCCAGCCGAACGAATAGGCTGAAAAATAGCTTTTATCCATGGACTGTCAGACTTCTGAATGCAACATAAACACCACAATTAAGTTTAATATGATAGACTTGCAGGGCAAGCGTCAAGGAGGCTCATTTCAATTTCATTGTACACCTGTTGTGCATTGACAATAAATGTTTGATTTGATTTGATCTCCTGGCAAATCTCTAATTGGAGAACATGATTGATGACTCTTAGCTGTGAATGTGTTTCGCTGGAGAATATGAATTATGATACACCCGGAGGGGTGGGGGGAAATCAGGATCAAGGGTGACAGTGAATTATGTGTCTCAAAATTGGCTTCATACAGGTGATGCTGACATGTTCGCTCCTAATAAATTCTTTGAAGTTTTTGAAGCTTGGCTTGAAGCTCATGATTTAATTAGGGCAACTGCCAGAATCCTGACACTGCACTTTATGGAGATACAACAACAAAATCCTGAGACCCAGATTGAGTTCATTTCTCTCATACCCCATAATAGAATTAGGGTAGAATCAATTTGAGCTTCTTTCACTCTTTCCTGGGGTTAAAACATGGTTTATTTAATCATCTGTGCCTAGTTTCTCCAGAGTCATGTCCATGGTTCTTATCTATTGACAGAAACTGGTCTCTCTTCATTTCTTTGTGTCATGCCCCTGGTGGAGACTGACTCTGAGGGAGAGGAGGAACAGCTGACAGGGAGTGGAAGTGTGGCTCCGGAGGTTGTGGAGGAGGCTGGGGAAGGGCAGAGGCTGGCTGGGCAGTCAGAGGAGGACCCAGGCCCATCCCCTCTCCATCCTAGAGCATACAGGGAGGAGAGGGTAAGGAAGAGACATGGTCTACTGGGGAGGAAAGGGCCTTGATCCTCTTCATGCGCTGCAGCTGTGACAACTGGATAAAAGGACGGACATGTGTACAGCGAGTGCTGGAAACAAAGCATGGAAATATCTCTAGTTTATTGTTCCTCTCTGAGTTTGGCGTCCTTCCCAGTGTGTGTTCTGATATCTGTGGACGTCTTCAAGCCTTTATCTTGCCTGGTTTGTGTTGTTTTTTTACTCTTTATGATTTAAGCGGCATTTCCTTCTTCTTGTGTGGGATTTTTTTTTCCTCCAAAGGAGAAAAGTCAAGGATATTTGGAGCTTGGAAGCAAAGTGAAGGAATAAAAGGGGCTTCACCTGTTTTTTGTGACCGTGTTTATTTTGTATCCCACCCTGGGTCATCACACTTGTTTCGAGTCAGCTTCTCTCTTATCACTGGGAGGGATTCAATGATCCTTGGGCTTATATATCCAAAATATACTAAAACATAGATAGTGCAGCTCACTAATGAGCATTTTTGTACTCTCCAGTTGAGGAGTTGGAAGGAAGATCTGATGATATCATTGTGAGGTCCA